AGACTAACTAAGGTCAACTACAAATGAAACTATCTTAAAGAAATGCATGCGTTATCAGCATTTTCACTTATAATATGTTTTTTCCAGAAAAAGTTTTCTAGAAACCCTTTAAAGATCCTCTAAAGATCTTCAAAATATTCCCATTAGGTTCCTTATCAGTTTTTACCTATGTCAACAAATTTTCACCTGATTTGAATAAAAAATAAACGTTTTATGCGAAGATGACCTCCCCCTTTTTCGTATCATACAGTAAAAACAATTTTTCTCGACACAAGAAGGGAAAAAGAAAAAAGCGATGCGTAACTTTGTAACACATGGTATGATGTGTCGAATGAGATAAAATATTTGCTTCCATCGTTTACACAGAAAAACTAGATAGGCCTACAAAATCGACCTATGCGTAGCTCACCCGGCCTGATTTGAAGCGCCATCACCAATAGAGTTTTGTGTCTAGAGTTGATTTAACGACTTGTCTGTAATCAGTTTTTCATGCTCATTCTGAAAAAACTATTTTCAAAAGCTGAAAATAAGAGTAAAGCAGAAAATTTTGTTCATTTTCAAAAAAGATGTGATTTTTTAAGGAAAAAATATTCTTTGAGTATTTCGTATTTTTCGACCGGAAGGAAGCATTCATTAAGGCTAAAAAGTAGATATTCGTGATCAGCAGCTCAAGCTCTATCAGATGATGTAAAAAAAGCCGAAAAAAAAATTTTTACTTGAAGTTTGAATTGCTTGCACCTTATATACTTGTTCAAAAAGTATACTTCGGGTCTGAGCAGCTGCCATTACAAATATATCTGTACGTTAAAAACAACGAACAAATCTGAAATAAAATAAAAGAAAAAATATATATTATGTTATTCCTCTTTCAATGTACTTTTATATATTTAGTTTTCGATATTCAATTACCATCTATTTACTGAAATTAAAGAGGATGTCCCAGCAGCTATCGAGGCTCACTTTTTTTATAGATTTATTAGGACTTTTCAATAAGTTCTTATGCATTTTGAGATATATCCGATACAACTCCTCGGTACGTGCATGCATATCTACAGTGTGGCTGCGCTGAAATATGATCGCAGGAAAAAAATCCTCAATAAATAAGCAAATAAATTCAGTAGAAACAATAAGTCCCGGTAGTTTCTCTCACAGCCAGAGCCGTGATCGCGGTCAAATTTTTTTTTCGAAGTCGTGACCGTGGCTGGAACTTGATCACGGACAGTCGCGAGTACTAAAATAGTCACATATCTTTTGTGTGTGTATTGAATGCATTAGTTTTTCCACAACACAAATAATTTCATATTCTTAGCTTGTTACGATAATTTATTCATTTCTTCTGAATCAAAACAACTCGACATGAATGTTACAGGAGAAATTAGAACTCAAGAAATTTTAAAATTTTCCTAGGAGATATAAAAATTGAGAATGAGGATCAGGTGAAATTGTAAATTGTCCTAGGAAAATTTTAAATTTTCTTGAATTATAATTTCTTCTGGAACAAGGTTGCTATTTCATTGAACCGAACCAAATTAATTAAGAACATAGGTTTTTTCTTCTTGGTTAGTAATCTCATGATTTTTATTTATTTTTGCCTTTTATCGAACCTTGATCATAATAAACATCGTTCAAGAAAAGAGATCGCGACTTGCGATAAACTAGAAAGAACGACCATGACCAAAAAACTTGGCCATACCGGACGCTAGTTGACACACACAGACAAAAAGAGAAGATCAGTTTTTTCACATACATTCATTCATTGGTATTAATAGTTTCTTAACGATGAGTTCTTCAATAGCAAAAAAATCTCGTGAATTTATGGCTGAATCACTTGGTGATAAAAGTATTCGAGATGTTTCTGGTATGGATGATATCCTCGGAATGGAGTTATCTGAAGCTGGCTACGAAAAAGTTTTTTTTAACACATCAATTTTTTTTAAATGTGATTTACGAGGGTGTGGGTGTGGGTG